AAACCGTAGGCAGAGAGAGAGAAGAGGACAACAAACGAGGGGCTGTGACAAACTGTTTCGTCGGAGTTAAAGATATATATATATAGAGAGAGAGAGAGAGAGAGAAATGGGATGCTTGCAACTGCTTGGCTTTTTTAAAAGCTATATTACTAATAAATCATGCATTCCTCTGGCGTTGTGTCCTCCCCTCCCGCCCGACCTCACCCGTTCCTGACCCAAGGCCTCCCCCCACAACCCTCCACCCCCAGATTAAGACCGGCTCCACAGTGTTGAAAATCTTGGTCTAGCCGAAAAGGAGGACCCATTGGAGAAGAAGCAGGGGGGAAACGGAGCAAAATCATTCATTCCTCAAATTAAAACACACTTTACGAAGAAAAAAAGAAGTTAAAAAAACAGATAAAGTCAGGTCCTCACAAACTTTCCCATTCGACAGCTGGCCTTGGCTTTTTCCCATTGATCAAAGGTTGTGAAAACATGCCCAGAGAAATGCAGCAGAATCCCACCCACCATGGCCACAATCCCACTAGCAAAGAGGACCGGATTTAACGGCTGAATATGGACTCGTCTGTCGCTGCCAGCCATAAAAAGTGCAATAACGTTTGAATAACTTGCAAATTTGCACATTGTGAAGCCTGTGCTTTTTCCTGAGTTTTTGTCGCTTTTCAGTGTGTTTGCTGGTTCCCTGCGAACTGAGTCTGCGTGGTGTTGTGTATGAGTAGCCGTCCAAGTGTGTGTGTGTGTTGTTAAAGTACCCCAAATTCTCTCTCTCTCATTTCCTCCACAAATCATAACAAACCATCCATCCATAACCAAAAAGTATAGATAGCTAATATAATAGAAAATGTAAGGTTGGCCACATTTGTGTGGTTCAGCGCCAAGTGCCCACACACCCGTCTGCCACCGAAACGGCATACTTGCACATATACATACATGCATATATTTATTTAGTCCATAAAGGGTGGAGGGCAAGAAGCATCTTACCTGGAACCAAGGACTTGGAGTGTGTGTGTGCGCGCACGCGTGCGCGTGTGTGTGTGTGTGTGTGTGTGTGTGTGTGTGTGTGTGTGTGTGTGTGTGTGTGTGTGTGTGTGTGTGTGTGTGTGTGTGTGTGTGCGGGCAGCTGCGTGTGCGTATTGATGTGTGTGTTTGCTGGTCTACAGGCCTGGTACTAACCCTCTACGGGCCTGGTACTAACCCTCTACGGGTCTGTTACTAACCCTTTACGGGCCTGGTACTAACCCTCTACGGGCCTGGTACTAACCCTCTACGGGCCTGGTACTAACCCTTTACGGGCCTGGTACTAACCCTTTATGGGCCTGGTACTAACCCTTTACGGGCCTGGTACTAACCCCATGCCGTGTGTGGACTTGTGCAGCTGGCAGCTTAGAAGGGGAAAGTAGGCCCGTGGTGGCCAAAGTCACATAATAACAGCGGGCAATAGGCAGAAAAGGACAAAAAGGTGGTACTTTTGGGGTAGCTCGATGTAGTGTTCAAAGGTCCGGTAGGCTCAGGGGTCCGAGGAAGGAACCGGCCTGGGAAAGCTGACCGTCTTCACCCGAATAGACCGCCGGGTCATTACAGCCGTATTTGGTGCAATTTGCAGTTCAGATACAGCTATAATGACCGGGCATTTTATACGGGTGAAGATGGTAGCGTTCGAGGCAGTAAGGGGGCATATCAGACTGCAATGATGTTCCCGCCAATAAGGAGGGGAACCGGTAGGCCCTGGAGGCCACCGCTGCTGGAAAGTCGCCGAGGGAAGACGCAGCGCCCAATGTATATGAGAAGGAGCGTTCACTTGCTCCGCCTCATTCTTTGGGTAGCAAGTCGCTACGCTTCTGGAGCGCTCACCCGGCAAGTGAAGTGCGGAACTGAGCAGCCGTAGCCTGCAGGAGTGCATCCCACCCTGGCTATGGTGCGAAGGGCCAGGGTGAGGAAGTGGCAGACTTAAATATGGCGGCAAAGTGGAAGACGAAGGAGAAGGAAGGAGGCAGAGGAAGGAAGGAGGAGGTGGCGAGTGGACGAGGAGGTGGTTTACCTTGCCTATGGTGGACTGCATTTTCATCTCTTTGGTTGGTGCCGCACCGGGAAGAGGCCCCTCGTTGGGGTTATGAAGGAAGGAACACCCTGGATGTGTTGTTGGCTTGGTGGTGGAAATGGGCAGGGCTCGAAGAGCTTCGCATTGTCCTTTAGACATCCAGGCTACGTACGCCTGGATGCTGCAGCCAGGGCCGGATGCTCAACCAAGTTGTGGTAGGAGGTGTAGGGAATCAAAGTCAAAGTTTGACTTCTTGTGATGCCCGCAGTAACGGGAAGAGTCATACATTTATTGAATTTTATTATGGCTTATTCATATTCATTGTTGTTGACAACATTATTGAATTTATTCAATTTTATTGTTAATAAGATGTCAGGGGAGATGCATCATGAGCATGGCCCCCCAGATCGATTTGCGCTAGCGCCTAAGGTTAGCGCTACTTTGCTCTATTTTCGTGCCCAGTTACCGCAGCGCCCTACCGGGACCTTCTGCACACAGAGCCTCACCGCGCCGAAATCGATTTTTCCGCGTCATTTCTTTGGAACGTGGACCGAAAATCGAGCAAGGAAGTCACGCCCTCGGGCGTGGCTAGGAAGGAGCAAGCAAGCAACCATAGCCCAGGACATCATCACCACGGACAAAGAACAACAAGACGACGACATCGAATGAGTAGGAAAGTGACGAGTAGAAGGGATAGAAAACAAGCCTCCATGAGTGGGATGACCAAGGACAAGAACTTAACGAGTGTCTCGAAAGGGAAAACGGAGTAGGAGCAAGGGAGAGAGAGGATTCACTGCGCGAGGGATACGAAAGAGACACAGTCAGACAAAAAGTAAGCGAAGAGAGACAAAAACGGAATGGAAAGTCGGGGTTCAGAAAAAGAGGAGCAGAATAGGGAGGGGGAAAGAGAAGGGGAGCACGTCAGTGGGAGAACGCAACAGTGACATGAGAACGGCATCGACAGAACGCAAGGGTCAGGTGCCGGGAAAGAGCCAAGGCAAAGAGAGAGGGAGAGGTCTCTCTCGGGAAGGCAAGGTCAGATACAAGAGCAGGAAACACGAAACTCAAGAGGTGTGGCGCCAGTGAACAAGAGGAGCTTTGCTATTTGAAAGATAACAACAGGGAAGATCTTTGAAGGTGAAACTTTCCATCCGTCACTCACAAGCAAAAAGTAAGTATCACCGCTGTCGAGCGCATCGGCTCCCGCCCTTTTGCAAAGCGCGGGAACCCTCCCGGCCATGTCACGTAGGAGTAAAACGAAAGCAAAACAGAGACAACTTGGGAACGACACTTAACAACCCCGTGAACCGCCGAGACGGTTGCGGTAGCGTCGCTCCGTCGCCGCTCCGTCGCCGCTCCAAGTCTGAACAGCTATAGTCGGGGCACTTCTCTTTAGCACAGGCCTAGGTCGCATCGTGCTTACCATCGGCCTAGTTTGCAATACTTCCCTTGGTGCAGACGTCCCTGCTTGGCCAGGCGCATCTTCCCTTTGATCACCCCATTCGCCAAAGAGAAAAACATTCGGCAGTCCGGGCCAAACTTCCTCCATGTCCACGCAAAGTTGGACGATGGAGTCCCAACATCGAGCACGTCTCCTAGTGGTGGTTTGCGCTCGCCCCACTTGTTCCCTAAACCCTTCCGGCTCCACTGATGAGTCATTATTATGCAACGATGCCATGGCCTCCTCAATCTCTGCCAACCGCGCTTCTTCCCGGGAGGCAGTCTGGAACGTCACCGGAAGGGACGACCCATTCGGCGAAACGCCTCCTTCCTCATACCCCCTTCAATGTTGGGGTCAATCAGATTCCCTTTGTAATCGAAGACGTCACCACGTATCGTGGTGAAGACTATCCCTTCCTTCTGACC